ACCTTTTTCAAGTTCTAACTTTTTGGCAACTTTTAAGATCTAATGTACCTTCTTCAAGAAAAACAAAGGTTATGTTCTATAATAACACGCAAAAATTCTAAGAGATTACCTTCTAAAACTTTAACACTTTAAACATGCAAATCAAAAGTCTATAATAAAGTTTCTTACTTTTAAAGCCGAATCTACTTTTTAAAGCCAAATCCTGCCCCGTTAGCCTGGTTAAGAAAATGTTCCCAGCCTACTTACAGATCCAGACTTGTGAAGTTGATCCTGGGCATTGCGTGCGGTGAATTTCCCTCACCTTTTCGGTGAAACTTCCTTTTTTTCCTCTCTAGCGAAACCTTCACTTCCAGATTACCCGTTGGATGCCAGATGTCCAGTGTGTTTCCCTCCATGTCCCGCGTGGTTCAGGGTTCAGGATCTGAAAGAGGAGCCGCACACAAATGAGAGAGAAAAGAGACAAGAGACAATTTGGAAATGTTGGGGAGCCAGGCAGGCAAGTCCAACTCAAGGAGAGGGACTTCCACTCATGCTCAGGCCGCTCCAACCTTTTATTTGATCTGGGGTAGCCCTAAGGTAAGGAGGTTTCAATGACACACAGATTAGCTCATCAACAGACAATTTCCAGAAATAGGCAGAATATCTAATCAACAAGGATTTACATGAGTATCTAAGGAATTAAGTGAATTAAGGTGGGGAGGATGCTTCAGCTACCATTATCTAGATTAACTGGGTGGTGCACAGCTCCGACCTTTGCTAGGGCTTCAAAGGTCACTAGCTTTTGGGGGTCTCTACTCTTCTCTGCTAGTGAAGACGATAGGTGGTCTCCGACATTGGTCCAATGTAATTGCATGGGCACTGGTGAGTGAAAGAGAGGGGCAGGAGGGTCACTCAAAAAAGATTTGACAATGAACACAGAAGTCAGAGTGATGCAGTTACTAGCTTTGAAGATGGAAGGAGGCCACAAGCCAAGGAATACAGCCAGCCTCTAGAAACTGGAAAAGGCAAGGAAACAGATTCGCCTCTAGGAACACGGCCCTACAGACCTTGATTTTCACCTGAGAAACCCATTTTGGTCATCTGACCTACAGAATTATAAAATAGTAAGTTTGTATTATTTTAAGCCACTAAATTTGGGTAATTCGTTATAACAGCAATAGGAAACTAATACAATAAGTATTTTTAATGTTTTCCACTTTAATTTCCCATACAGTAAATACTAATGGATATATAATCCATAGAATTAAAAGCTCTTTGGGATCCTCAATTTTTAATTTTTATTTTGTTAATCCTCACCCAAGGATATTTTTCCATTGACTTTTTTTTTTAATATATTTTTATTGATTTCAGAGAGGGAGAGGGAGAGAAAGACTGAAGCATCAATGATGAGAGAGAATCATGGATTGGCTGCCTCCTGCACACCCCGTACTGGGGATTGAGCCCAAATCCCGGGCATGTGCCCTTGACCAGAATCAAACCTGGAACCTTTTGGTCTGCAGGCTGACGCTCTATCCACTGAGCCAAACCAGCAAGGGCTCCATTGACTTTTTAAAAAATATACTTTTATTGATTTCAGAAAGGAAGGGCGAGGGAGAGAGAGATGGAAACATCAATGATGGATCATCGATCGGCTGCCTCCTGTATCCCGTGCACTGGGGATCAAGCCCACAACCCAGGCATGTGCCCTGACCAGCAATCAAACCCGTGACCCCTGGTTCATAGGTGGACGCTCAACTTCTGAGCCACACCGGCTGGGCTTTTTCCATTGACTTTCAAAGAGAGTGGAAGGGAGGAGGAGAGGTTTCCACGTGAGAGAGACATCGATTGGTTGCCTCCTGCACTTGGGATCAAGCTTGTAACCTGGGTATGTGCCCTTGTGCCCTTGACAGGAATTGAACTTTCAGTCTGCAGGCCTATGCTCTATGCACTGAGCCAAAACCAGCCAGGCAGGGATCCTCAATTTTTCAGCATGTAAAGAGGTTTAAGACCAAAAAGTTTGAGATCCATTGCTCCAAATAAATCCTGTCTGTCTTGGCTCTCTCTCTTACCCTAGCCCTTGGTGTTCTTACCGCCAAGAATGACCTTGCCCTTGTTGAAATCCTCCCCAATCTTTAAGAACCACGTTATGTTCTACATCCTCATCCCTGATCATCCCAACCAGAAGCCTCTTTTCCTTAAACTTTGAACTTCCCCTGGGAGTCATTTATCTGCCTTGTACTTGTCTCCTTATTAAAAGTGAACTCCCCACCCCCACTACCCCCCGCCAAAAAAAGTGAACTCCTTGAGACCCAGTGTTTACTCCTTACCCAAATAATGTAATATATTGTGTATGCATGGACTATTTTAGGCAACAAGCATGACACAGAGGTTCACTGTTTTTTTGTTTTGTTTTGTTCGTTTCTTTGAACGAACATTAGAAAAGAAGTACAATCACTGGTTCCCGGGAATAAAATAAAGAACTATTCAGGAACTGTAGCATTGTTCAGTAAGAGTTGAGATGCGGTTCTACCTAATGTCAATCAGTGTAATTGATTAGAAAAAAAATGTATGTGAGCTATCCTTAGAATATTTACATTTATTTGGTTATAGTTGGCATTCAGTTTTTAAAAACTAATTTTAAATTCTTAAAAATAATTTTAAATAATATTGCTATTTCCTATCTACCAGTTTCCTAAGGATAATAAGTTTTATCCTCTCAAACTTAATAAAATTAGCAAAAAGATTGTTTCAAGTGTCATGTATTTTATTTTTTAATCTTTATTGCTGAAAGTATTACAGATACCCCTTTTTCCCCCCATTAACCCCATCTAGCCTGCACCCACTGCCCCCTCTTCACCATGGGTTATGCAGATATGCATTCAAGTTCTTTGGTGAATCCCTTCTTTACCCCCCCATCCCCACCCCCTGCTTCCCTCTAAGATTCCACAGTCGTTCCATGCTTCTTTGTCTCTGGGTCTATTTTATTCACCAGTTTATTTTGTTCTTTAGATTCCACATATGAGTGAGATCATGGCAAATAGTCATGTATTTTATTTTATTTTTAAAAATACTTTATTTTTATTTATTTATTTTAAATATATTTTTATTGATTTCAAAGAGGAAGGGAGAGGGAGAGAGATAGAAACATCAATGATGAGAATCATTTTTCGGTTGCCTCCTGCACGCCCCCTGCTGGGGATCAAGCCTGCAACCCGGGCACATGCCCTCAACCAGAATCCAACCTGGGACCCTTCAGCCTACAGGCCGACACTCCATCCACTGGGCCAAACCAGCCAGGGCATATTTTTAAAAATATTTTAAATTGATTTTTACAGAGAGGAAGGGAGAGGGGGAGGTAGAAACATCGATGAGAGGGAAACATGGATCAACTGCCTCCTTCACGCCCCCAAAAGCGGGGAAGAGCAGAGAGAGGCCAGGTGACCTCCTGGGCATGGGTTGACACTCAACCACTGAGCCACACAGGCTGGGCTATGTTCTGTATTTTAAATAAATTTTTCAGTCAAATGCTCAGTAAAAATATATTAAGAGCCTACAGTAAAGGACAGCCTGACCAGTACAAGACGTTCAATAAAAGTTGGTCTGAAAGGAGGCAAGAACATACAATGGAGCCAAGATAGTCTCTTCAATAAATGGTGTTGGGAAAATTGGACAGATATATGCAAGAAAATGAAACTAGACCACCAACTTACACCACACACAAGAATAAACTCAAAATGGATAAAGGACTTAAATGTACGACAGGAAACCATAAAAATTCTAGAAGAATCCAAAGGCAACAAAATCTCAGACATATGCAGAAGCAATTTCTTCACTGATACAGCTCCTAGGGCAGTTGAAACTAAAGAGAAAATGAACAAATGGGACTACATCAAAATAAAAAGCTTCTGCACAGCAAAAGAAACCATCAACAAAACAACAAGAAAACCCACTGCGTGGGAAAACATATTTGCCAACGTCATATCTGATAAGGGCCTAATTTCCAAAATTTATAGGGAACTCATACAACTTAACAAAAAGAAGATAAACAAACCAATCAAAAAAGGGGCAAAGGATCTAAATAGACACCTTTCAAAAGAGGACATTCAGAAAGCCAAGAGACATATGAAAACATGCTCAAAGTCACTAATCATCGGAGAGATGCAAATCAAAACAACAATGAGGTACCATCTCACACCTGTCAGACTGGCTATCATCAACAAATCAACAAACAACAAGTGCTGGAGAGGATGTGGAGAAAAAGGAACACTTGTGCACTGCTGGTGGGAATGCAGACTGGGGCAGCCACTATGGAAGACAGTATGGAGTTTCCTCAAAAAACTAAAAATGGAAATCCCATTTGACCCTGTGATCCCACTTCTAGGAATATATCCCAAGAAACCAGAAACACCAATCAGAAAGGATATGTGCACCCATATGTTCATAGCAGCACAATTCACCATAGCTAAGATTTGGAAACAGCCTAAGTGCCCATCAGCAGATGAATGGATTAGAAAACTGTGGTACATCTACACGATGGAATACTATGCTGCTGTAAAAAAGAAGGAACTCTTACCATTTGCAACAGCAAGGATGGAACTGGAGAGCTTTATGCTAAGTGAAATAAGCCAGTCAGTGAGGGAAAAATACCACATGATCTCACACATTCATGGATAATAGAGACCATTATAAACTTTTGAACAATAATAGATACAGAGGCAGAGCTGCCTCAAACTGATTGTCAAACTGCAGTGGGAAGGCCAGGGAGGGTTTGGGGGCAGGAGGGAGGGGGGTAAGAGATCAACCGAAGGACTTGTATGCATGCATATAAGCATAACTAATGGACATAAGACACTGGGGGCTAAGGGAGGCCAGGGGATTGTCAAGGGCGAGGGGAAAGGACACATATGTAATACCCTTTGTAATACTTTTAGCAATAAAAAAAAAAAAATTAAAAAAAAGTTGGTCTGGCCCTTTAATTCCCCCCCCTTCCTTGACTCCACCTCGTTTTCCTTAGTGCCCTTTTACCCTGACTCTTTTAGACCCCATGCGGCCGCCGTAGGGCGGGGTGGCAAGATGGCGGCTCCCGTGCTGGCTGGTGCGGTGAGAGTAGCATCAGGTCAGTGGGAGAGCAACGCGCTCGGTTCTTGCCTTCACAGAAGGGGGGCCGCGCGGGATGGAATGGGAGTTAACAGGAAAAAGCGCGGGGGAGGGCGTCCCGTTATTTAAAACCAGAGGGTTGTCCGAAACTCTCGGACCCTCGCGTACCTGCGCGTCCCGAAGTTGGCTTTCTTACGGGCTCCTCGCCATTCCGCCTTCCTTAGAGAACAAACCGGAGGACAGGGCGGAGGGGGCCAGGGCCACCCCTCACGACCTTTGACCTTGGCCGTTGTCTGAGTCTCGGAGCTTCGCGCAGTGGGATGACGGCGAGCTCCGGTGGGTGCGCGGCTCGCAGGCTGTGCGGGGAGCGAGCGGTTCGGTTCCTTCATCAGCCCCCGCACCGGACGGTCTCCGGGATTCCCGGAGTGAGGGAGAGGACAGGAATGAAAGCAACTTAGCTTAGTCGGAAGAGGACTTTTGCAAAAAGTTAAAGGTCATTCAGATGTGGTAAGATGACAGTAAGTTACTGTCACGAAAAATAAATTAGAGTAAAATCCTGTGGAAGAATAGAGATTAAAAAGAAGCCTCCCGCGTGGCTCGGTGGTTGAGCATCGACCTATGAACCCTATGAACCGGGAGGTCAGGGTTCCGTGTGGTCCGGGCACAGGCCGGGCTGCGGGCTCCATCCCGGTGTGGGGCGTGCAGGAGGCAGCCGAGCCATGATTCTCTCTCATCGTTGATGTTTCTCTCTCTCTCCCTCTCTGAAATCAATACAAATAAATATTTTTTGAAAGCTACGATGTAAAATTTCCAACTTACATAAGAGTTTCTTTACATGGGTTATTTTTAATTTGTGAAATAACAAGGAAAAATTTGTGTAACATACATGAATGGCATAAATACCGGTCTGCCTGGTTTTGTTGCACTTTGTAGATATTGCTTTTTTAAAAAATACGTATTTTTATTGATTTCAGAGAGGAAGGAAGAGGGAGAGAGAGATCGGCCGCCTCCTGCCCGCCCTCCTGGGGGTCCAGCCTGCAGCCCGGGCCTGTGCCCTGGCCGGGAACCAAATCCTGACCTCCCGGGGCCTAGGGAGAGACAACCACTGAGCCACCTGCCAGGGATTTTTTTTTGAAAAGCAAAGGTTTGTGGTAATTCTGTGTGGAGCAAGTCTTTTGGCTCCATTTTCCCAACAGGCACAGATGATGGTTTGTATTTTTTAACAATAAAATTTTTAATCAAGGTATGTATATTGTTTTTTTAAGACACAGTGCTATTGCACACTTAATAGACTACAGTATAATCTAAACATAACTTTTATATGCACTGAGAAGTCAAAAATTCGTGTGACTTGCTTTATTGTGGTGGTCGGTATGGAGCCCACAGTGTCTGCAGGGAATGCTTGTAACTCTAAAGCGAACATCGGAAAACTGACAGCCAGGTCAGGGCACAGAACACCAAGAGCCTCTTCTGCACCCCTGTGAGCCTCCCCATCAAAGTCCCATTTGGGGCCAAATATAAACACTGTTCTCATTATTATTGCCTTGTTCTTTTTTTTCCTGTAATAGTTTCAGCATCTAATTGTGCATCTTTTTAAAATATATGTATTTCTTACTGATTTCAGACAGGAAGAGAGAGGGAGAGAGATAGAAACATCAATGATACTAATCATGGATCGCTGCCTCCTGCACGCCCCCTACTGGGGACGGAGCCCACAACCTGGGCATGTGCCCTGACCGGAATCCAACTGTGACCTTCTGGTCCACGCTCATTGCTGCTAAATAATAGTCTCTTATGTGACTACCCCACAATTCTCCATTTTACTATTGATAGGCGTTTTCAGTTTGGGGCAGTTAGGTACAAAGCTGATTGACCTTGTGTCCTGCTCTATGAGTGCCAGAGTTTCTCTAAGGTGTGTGTGTGTACATGTGAAACTAGCTGTAGAATTGCAGCATCAATATGTGTGTGTGTGTGTGTGTGTGTGTGTGTGTGTGTGTGTGTGTATTCAGCACTGCCTGCTACTGCCAGTGATGTGTTTATTTAAAGTCACCCCAGCATTGCATTCTTTACTTCCTCATCAACAATTAGTATTGTTAGACCTAGAGATTTTTGTCAATCTGGTATATATTTAGTGATGTCTCCTTGTGGTTTAAATTGCATTTACCTGATTAGTAATGAGCCTAAAATACCTTTACACATGTGTAGTGGCCATTTAAATTTCTTTTATGAAGTACTCACTTAAATATGTTGCCCATTTTTTTATTCAGTTGTCTTATTGACTTATAGTTCTTTATATATTCTAGATATGCAAACTTTCTCATTTAATTGTGTTTTCCAATATCTTTTCCCACTTTGGCTTGCCTTTTTAGTTTACTTAAAGTATCTTTTGGTGAAAAGAAATTCTTATTGTCATCAACTTGAATGTATTGTCCTTGTGCTTTTGAAATAGATGACATAGTTGGGTATCAACTCACTATGACATGTAGATTCCATTGAAAACACTTAAAAGTGATGTGACAGCTTATTTTTTAAATTTGTTTTTTTCTTTATCCTCACCAGAGATGAGATTTTTTCCATTAATTTTCAGAGAGAGAGTGGAAGGGAGGATGAGAGAGGGAGAGAGAGATGGAGAACCATGGATGTGAGAGAGACACATCGATTGATTGCCTCCCAGACAAAGGGGACTCCACACATCTAGGCCCTTCATGATCTGCCTTCTGCTCTGCCCGCCCTGTTTCTCACTGCTTCCCCCCAGGCATTTCCAATACAGTCGACACGCAGTGCTCAGCTTCTGTGGCAGGTCCAGTCCCCACTCCAGGCTTACATTTGTTTCAGCCTTGTTTTTGCCTGTTTTTTATCCTACTTGGATTGTGTACCTCTTCCTCTCATGGCCTGTTCATTTTCTAGATGAGAGTTCAGGTACCTCTGCTGTTTTCTTTGCGTCCTTCTCCTGCCAGTCTCGTCTATCCAGGGAGTTGTCGAGCTTTCGTGTCTGCCCTGCCATTGCACTCTGTGCGGGGTTCTGCCTCATCAGAGCATAAGATCTGGCGGGCGGGAATTCATGTTACATGTATTTTGTTTTGTACTGTTGAACATAGAACTAGGACACATCAGACTGGATCGTGGCGATGGTTGCACAACTCTAAATTTACTAAAAAGCATTAGGTTGTACACAAATGGGTAATTTTTTGGTGTGTAAGTTTCCCTTAATAAAGTTGGTAAAAAGCTCCACAGGTGAGTCTGAACTTCAGGACACATTGATAATGTATAACACTTAGTTGCTTTAAAAATTTTGTATTACTTAATTTTAAATATCTGGATTCATATATTGGTGTGTCGTATTAAGCATGTATGCTTTTCCGTCTTTACAGGAATCTTACGGCCCCTGACTGTTTTGGCGTCTTCAGCCTTTCGACACGGTGCCAAGAATGCCTGTTTCAGTTCTGCACTGTCCCCCCGACATCTTTGTCATATTCAGACTCCAGTTGTTTCCTCTGCGCCCAGACTTACGACATGTGTCAGAAACCTGGCATGGGGGCACACTGGAACAATCCTCAATAGGTAGAGTATATCTCAGTAAACATGTTCTTGGACAAAAATTCTAAAATATTCATGCCTGCAAAGACATCTTAGAAATAGGGGATACTTTGTGTACCTGCCGTTTGTTGCATAGACTTTGCCTGATGGAGTGGGAGAATAGGATTGACATCCATATGCCTGTGTGCCAGCAGCAGGGACTACCAGACAGCACACTTCTGGTTTCTGGGTGTGGTTTCCTGGATGGAAGCTGTCAGCGCGTGGAGGGTGAGCAAGATCCTCAGCTTACAAGGGTGGGCTGCGTGTGGTGCTCATTCAATCAGCAGGCATTTAGTTAAGCACACCTGGCTGCCTAGCACTGTACTTGGCAGAAAGTTTACAAAGATAAACACGTTGAAATCCTTAGGAGGTGACAATCTAGTGGGCAGATGGGTTAAAAATCAGGTGATTGAAATATAATAGAATCAGTTCTCTCCTAGGGATTGAGAGGGTAGATGACAGTCCGACATGCAAGTTGGTGATAGTTGCTGTTCTTATGTATGCATACATTCATGGATCTTTGGAAGAAACAATGTATATTAAAAGTCAGCTGTGGCAACAGCATGGATGGAACTGGAGAGCATTATGCTAAGTGAAATAAGCCAGTCAATGAAAGAAAAATACCACATGATCTCACTCATTTATGGATAATAAAGACCATTATAAACTGA